AACAGCTTTTACGGCCCAACTAGAGGCCTAGAATTTTTAGTGTCCATTCTGCGTACTACGTCCTAGATACTATGGATCTGAAGCGTCGAACGGAGATAGGAAGGAGCCTGTGAGCGATGGAGGAGAAAGATGGAGGACTCAGGGGTTGGACACTTACCTAGGTGATCCATGGTACTGATTTCCAATCAGATCATCACTGACATTACTAGTTTTTTCTGTCAAAGTAACTCCTGAGTCATTCATTCCACCGAAACCCTATGGGATTTGGCACTCTACCTAGTTGCGTTCAATCGTACATATGCCGCACGCTAAACAGGCCCTAAGTCTCAGGGCTAACAAGACCGGCATCCGATGCGCTGCCCTGCGGACTCTTTCCCTAGCCGTAGGACCAAGATTGTGGGCCGCTTGTCTAACCTCCCTCCCTATGCGGCGAACCATCCGGTGGGCCGAGAACAGCCACTGCGTAAGGTCGGGATATTTGCTATCCTTGCACTATTATTGGCTGTTCTCGGCCCACCGGGCTGTTCGCGTAGGCAGGGTGGTTATGGTTTATTAGGATCACAATTGACTAGGCTCATCTTGGGTAGCTTTATGATGGTCTTTGGGCGCTTAGGCTTTCTAATTGCCCAAGCTTACTTCGTTGGAATCGGCGATCATTTGGGTATGATGATATAAAGAACTTTCGAGGATCTCTCCTAGAATACAGACAAAGCCTGTTAGTTGTACTGATAAGAACTACCAGATCGGCTCGACGACTACGTCTCCCATTGAGTAGACAATAAAACGTCTTACACTAGCTAGCTCTTTCTATGGCTCCTCAGGCTACGAGGGCTTGCGATTAATACGTATCTTTAGTCCCCTCGCGCATGTCGAGACATCACTACTCACACCTAGTCTTACAGTTGTCGCAATAGAAAAGTAAAGTGTATCAGAAAAGGCACTGCGTCCTGCAAGAACTGCGTCTCAGCCCGCCTTGAATGCACATACGATGCCATCCCCCAGAAGAAGGGCCCCAAGGGCAGCCGTGCCAAAGTCCTGTCTAAACTTCACAAAACACAACGCAACACCCAGCTAGCCGCCGGTTTCCCTACCGACCTTAGATGCGACGGACTCTCCCTGCCCTCGACCTTTGCTCGCACTCAGGGCCTCCTGCCTCCCGCCCTAGTCGAGAGCTGTATCGAGTATTTCTTCAACAATTTCTACCCAACAGAGCCCGTCTTGCAGCATCAAAAAGCTCAGGAAGCCGTTGATGGCATGGATCGCTCTACCGAGGCATACTGTATGATTGTCGCTCTCTGTGCCTACGTCATTATCCAGGCCAACCACAAACCCCACGCAAATGTGCTCCCCCGCCAGGAAATAACTCGCATGTTCAATGTGGGCATCGGCCATGTTTTGCTCGAGGAATCCGTTCGCGTACGACAAGGCTACGATTACCGCGAGAAGCTTACACACATAAGTGTCCTGACCTCGTATTTTATTACGGCTGCTACTTGGGACTGGCGCTTAAGAACACGGCACTGACCTATCTTCGCGAAGCTACCACACAAGCACAATTGCTAGGCATGCACGACGAGGAGACGTACAAATACGACCTCCTGGATGAATCACCAAAACGAGCCCTATACTGGCTACTCTCCATAGCCGAAAGGTGTGTTTTAGCAATTTCCACTAAACTTTGCAGAAATGCGCCAAGGCACTTCTTTTTACTAACACCTGCTAGAACTTGCGCTCTGCACACACGACGCTCCATTACCCTGCATCCACTTATGCACCTCACATCTCTAGACGAAGTACCCTCGGATCAACTCATTACCATTTACCTCGAGCTCATAATCAACATGTTCAAGATAATTGACGACGGTTGTATTAAGCTTTCCAAGGGAGTGCACGAAACAAATGAAAGCACTGCATGGATTTTGCAGGTTCAAACACGGCTCTCAGAAGCTGTTCCAGCCGATTTGGAGTGCACCGAAGCCCAGGAGGTCCAAATTCGCACAACTCAACAGTGGCTAATGTTATCGATATGGGAGTTGGGCGTCAATCAAGGTCTTGTCAACGAGGTCAATAAGGACCCTTCGCTTACATATATATGCCCAATCGACATATCACGAGAGCTACTCACTACCTTACAACAATTTCCCAAACAAGTCATGCAAGTACATGGAGTCGGCTTGGTGAGTACATGATTCTTTTTTTATTTTCTTCCACTTCTCTCATCGCCAGAACCTCCCGTATGGAGCCCCTTCATCTTTCGATGCAATAAACCCTGTTATATTTCGACCTCACTAGGGTCCCACTAGCCTAGCTCCCCTCCTCAACCCTTGCACCTCCCACCCATGCAGCGTTTTACCATAATTGTCGCGCCAAACATCTGCTAATAGTGCTTGCAGATCGAGAAGTTGTTTGACGTTGCATGTTGTCTAATTGACGCCTTCGCTTGGACAAACTTCTCGCCTGATGCATTCACCTTGGGTTCCCGCGATTACGTCTCATGCTTCCTCACTCTCATATCGAATCTTAGCGGCGGACAGTCTCAATATCTTCCCTGCTTCAGTCCAAGTTCTCCCAAGGTGCTAGACGTATCGACGCTCGGCCTTAATTCTAGTGGTTCGGAGATCCCCCACTTGAATCTTGTCTCAGCAAGTGCCACTCTTAGCTCGTCCTCGCACCCCTCAAACACTCTGAATACTTGGATCGCTCCCAATCCTATCTCCCAACTTCACTCTCTCTCACCACAGCTTCCATAGCGTCTTTGTGAGGGTTCATCCACCCCAACCCGGGCCCTTTTTTTGCCTTCTTCCCATCACCGTGCAGGCTAAAGTCTTCCAGAGTCGTTACGCGAGCTCCCTTCGTGAGTGTAGAGGTACCCTCCCTCTGCAATTGCTTTGCTTTATACAATTTACATCGCATTGCGGCTTTGTTCGTTGCTTGTAGCTTAGCGACTTGGTCATGTATGAACACCCTCTGATGTGCCATTATCTTCGCGCTTTTAGTGAAATTTTCAAGTGCATCTACCATTGAAACTGGCGAACTATCTATATATTTCTGCAACCGTTCTCGAATCAGCTTCGATTGCGACTCGAAATTTAGGGTATTGCTTGACGTCTGAGACTACTGGAGACCGTCCTCGACAGTAAATAATGGTGGAGCTGTAGTCGCAGGTTAACGATCAATATTACAGCTTCCGGGTCAAATACGTCCTATGCAACGCCTCAGAACCATCTTCAATTACTGCTCTTTGTAAAATGGCAGTGTCAAAACTAACTTTGAAGCATGCCAGAAACTCCATCTTGACAACAGAGCTGATCTGGTTGAACGTTAGCTTCTCGGCTTGGCACTACCACTACTGCTTCTATCACGGCCCGAACCGGTCTTACGATTAGGCATACAGGCTATCATTTTTTTCATTGACGTAAATATGCTGAGGAGTACTTTGATTATAAAACAGCTAGTAATGCAGGCTGCCATTTTCTCTACCATGGAACTCTAGAAACATTAAATTGTGCAGGCAGATGCAAGCAACTATTTAATATACCACTTGTCTGCTCTCCATAAGTCATAACTCACAGTCATAGACGGCTTCCTAAACGTCAACTTCTATGGAATCGCGACAATTCCGATAGAGAAGGGAAGACAGATCATCCGCTTCACAATGTTAGGGAAGGAAATCAGAGGTTCCGGAAGGATCTTCGAAGATATACTGAAATTGGTCAGCGATCAAGTAAAACATCATGTTATTGGGCTGATTACTGAGTCCGTAGTTAATCGATAGTCTGATGAAAGCCTTTGGGCATTCTCTAGGACAAAGCTGATCTGAAACAGAACCCAAAGACCCACTGAATAGATTGTTCACTAAAGAACGCAAGCTATTACTAGCTAAAAATCTTCAAAGCAAAAGAAGTAGCAAGGGTCCCAGGAGACTATATCTAGAGATAGTCCAGAGACTGTTCAAAATAGTGTAGCGGCGTAGGAGGACAAGGGAGCACGTAGAGCATATATAGCAGCACATGTTAAGAAGCATAACGATTTTATTGCTTTCGAAAAACCAGGTTCCCTCCGCTTGAAAGAACGGGGCCTCGGCTTGGCTCCTATGCACCTTCTTTAAAGGTGCAAAATAGCTAACATCTAGTAGCTGCAGTGAGTACGACAGCTGAGAAATGCATAAAGACACACAACCAGAGGCAAATGATTCTGTTTGCTGTGCATCCAGCTTGTCTTACTAAGTGTGTCGGGTAGGGTCGTAAGGTAGTTTTCTGGGTGGCTGATTCGCTGTAGACGTCGTATCAACGCTGTACGGCGTAATATTTGCCGTAACTTGAGCCTTTTTCTTATCTGAGACATCGTCAGTGCCTGTTATGCAAGGAGGCGAATGGATGCGCATGCCCTCAGTCCTGAGTTTGGATAACGCTTGGCTCATGCGCAACGCGAGCACCTCATCCTTGTCGATTGTGGGGAGCTTTTGTCTCTGAAGCTCCGTGTTGATATCTTGGAAGATTTGGCTTCTTTTATCATTGCTGATGCCTCTCCATGTCAAGTTCGGTTCGTGTTTTCGAAGCTTTTTTACATATTCTCTTGTCAGAAGCTGTACGCAGTTAGGCACTAACTAGGGTAGGGAGCCAGAGGACTGCCGTACGAGAAAATTATCCCATTGCAGCTTGGTAAGTCCTGCTGCTTCACGGGCCTCTTCTGATGACGGCTGATCTGGTAGTTGCGGCATCGCGTTGACTGGGATAGTGCACTTCAGGATTGCTCAAACCCCGCGCCTCTTGGTCATAGCGCGTCGCTAGCCAATCCTAAGCCGCGCATCCGTGTCTGACATCCGTGCCGTGCACAATCGTACGTAGCTGGCCGATCCTGTCGGCACACGTCGTACCCTTGTCGTGCTGTGGTGTGAGCTTTGCTAGCGCTCGTGTCTGACTTCCGTCCCCTGCATAGTCACACGATGCCCCAAACATGTATGTGGGGCCGGCGACTAGATGTGCCATGGCCAATAGCATCATCAATCATAAATTACGTCACCCGGTGCCTTAGCATCGAATGGGTGATGCTTGCGTTTTACGATCGCGCTGTCCAGCAGCGACATGACATGCGGAGGGTTGTACCAAAAAATCAGTATACTCATATCAATAGCAAAAGAGCACTTCATAATAATAGAAAGTTACCTGACGATTGGCTTAGCGTGCCGAAGATTGCAAATTTGTGTTTCTCATGGGCCATCGGGAAATGTCAAATGTGCACCTATTTAGAGGGCAGATTTTCTGTTCGCAAAGCACCCGCAGACCTCACTTTTGCTTTAGCAAATACATAAAACGCGACTTGTTTGTGTTGTGTCCGGCTGATCAGACTGTCACTTCGTACTCCCCATCCATGCACTCAACGTCTTTGTTTTCTTGACTAAAGACTAACTTAATAGAAGTTGTAGCACAAATGCGACTGTTCTGCTTTTGCCAGCTTTAAGCGCTGGAAACATATACGAGAGTTACCTAGTCTAGATTGGAAATTGGCTTGCGCATTCCCGGCTCCTTATGAGTGTCTCTGGTGAAATGTTTTCCCAGCAGTCTGTCGGATCGTGAGTATCGGTAGAGGCGTCGGCTGCTTGACACTTCGGCCCGACTTCGGCCCACCTTGCGCAGAGCTTAGGTGTACCTTCGTAGTAGCTATGTTCGTAGAAAATACGAATACTAATATCAGTTGTTGATACGGCAAAGGTGAGGTTGAATCAAGTAACGGTCGTTGCAACGAGTTGAAGTAGATGGTTATGATTGATTAGAGGAGGTGGGCTGCAGCTCGCGTACGAACTGAATCCCACCCCACGGCACGGGCCACGCACGTAGTCACGTGCTCGCCACGTACGTACGGTGGTTCGAAACTAAGAGCAACCAACACCAGTCATCAGAAGAACCTCGTTGTTGTTATTCACCCGTACGATCGTACAAGGCCTACCAACATTATTATTATTATTATTATTATTATTAACGTCATCGATCATCGAACCGCCCACATCATCAAACCGCCCACCTTGTGCACCTACCCACCCTTCAAACCAGAGTATCTCCACAACCACATATCCAAATCAGGTAATAAGTAGATAGAATTAATCGCCTAATTCAGTTGCATCTTTCTTACAGGTCCGCCTATTATGCCCCAGCTGTCCACACTGTTTGCAGCTATAAATCCGCGATTGCGTTGCACCTGCCTCACGCCTCATCTCACGTGTTTCCTGTGCTGCCGCCTCTACTACATCTATTTGGGCAATTAAATCCTCTGCCTCTGCCTGTGATAGGGTCCCACCTTTCTTAATCCGGCGCTTTTTACGCTGTTTTCGTTCTGTGGCTGCAGCGTTGGCAGCTCGGAGTCGACCCATCTCATCAGCCATAAGAGCGTAAGAATGCACCATCATCTTGGCACCTTTGTTAAACTGCTGCACCATCTCAATAATCGAAGCTGGTGATGAGCTATGGTGCTGCCTAATCCGATTAGAGATAAGGGTTGAGTGAGCATCTATCTCAAAGGCGTTGCTTGGTGTTCTGGGTTGCCAGGTGGTGGTTGGTAAGGGTGGTGATGGCGTACGAGGCTTGATTTCAAGTCGTGATATCACCACCTCTGAGTTGATAGGAACTAAGCCAGTTGCACGGAATCCAGATCTGATGTTATTAGACGAGAAAACACCCTTGTATACTGCTAAAAAGGCTGCTAGGAATGCCTTTTTGTCGATATGGTTGACGTCGCAGTTTGCCAAGGCTCCTACTTCCTTCTTGTACGCACGCTTCAAGGGCCCAAAACACCCAACGTCAAGCGGCTGAAGGATATGGGAGGTATGAGGTGGCATACAGAGAGTGATGATGTTGTTCTCCTTGCAGATATCCTGAAACAGGACTGATTGGTGGCTCTCATGGCCATCAATAATGAGCAGCCGGTACCCGCCCACTGTACGCGCGGTGGTGTGGTCAATAAAGTGCCTTAGCCAGGCTACTCCAATCTCGTTGTTGGTCCATCCTTTGTCTGAAACAGCTACCCTCCAGTCCTTGGGGTTGCCATGATACCAGGCCTGTTGGTGGTTCTTTGCTCTGAAGATGAAGAACGGTGGAATCAGCCAACCCATGGCGTTGATTGCCGCAATTAAGGTTATCCATTCCTTGTCACCAGCCTGCCGGCTGATAGGTTTAAGACGTTGTTGAGACGCCGT